GGCTATTGATACATGCTCCCAGGAGTCATAGATATACTGAACATATGTAAAATTGGAAAACGGAAAGAAACAGGGAAAGAAAACTAATGTCCAGTGGAGAGGTATCCTAAGTGGATAGGGATAACAATATCGGGGGCCATGGGCCATGGTTTGCAGGCTTTGAGCCAAAAGCTGACCCGCTCCTTTTTTTTTGAAGCCCCCCAAAAAGTAAAGTGGGAAAGGAAAGGAAAGGGAAAAAAAAAAAAAAAAAAAAAAAAAAAAAAAAAAAAAACCTCTCCACATGCATCCTGTCCGGATTTCATATACGCATTATGGGGGATGGGTACTGATAGTGATAGGAAAGGTAATCGCAGGGAACGTGATTAAAGTACAGATTATAAATATTGGAATAAAGGAAGAAAACCACCCAGTAATAACGCCACGCGAGAGTTGAATGGAAAATTAAGAAAATCCCCCAAGGACGGCTATTCAGATTGCTTTAAAAAAAAAAAAAAAAAAAAAAAAAAAAAAAAAAGATTTACCTTGCACGAGCCAAGGTAATGTAAATGTTTTTTGAAAATTGTGGTTCGGTAATTCATCATAGAGGTAGAGAAAACACATACTGGGGGTCCAGTATAAACTAGTATCATCCCGATTTAACTTTCAAGATTTGTTTTTGAACAGCATTTTGTCATCCCGCGAAAGATCTAGACCGACAGCGAGTGCGGGTGTTGCGCCGGCATCGCCTCTGGATCCGGGCCATTTAGCCTTCCCGAGCAGCCAGTCCGTCAGTGTGACAACCCTCGCCGTCCTATCCCATCCATTACTTTCATCGGCATGTTCAATGGTATGACTGGCGATACGGCCCTCGTCATCAAACAAGAAGATGAACAGCCCGCTAAACTGTTCCTCTTGGCCTAGTTTAAAAATCGGTGCGTCTCCGCCTAACAGCTTGCTGAGACCACGATTTGTTCCATTCGATGAGGAGGACAGCGCTGATTGCGTTTCACTACTAGTTCTTATATCTCTGTTGGTTGTGGAAGAGTTATTCGTCGTAGCTTCTCCATTGGTGAACGGTGGAGATTCTTTAGGACTCGATTTTCCAAAGTAGCCGGGAGAATCTGTCTTGCCTCCTTCAGTTCGCCAGCGAACTACTAGCTTCTCATCACCGTATTTGTGCTCTTCATCGTATTCCGCATGGATGGGGGATTCACATTCGTTCGCTTATGATATCTAGCGACGTGCGACTATGGGACACTTCCCCAGGCTACTGGGG